GATTAAAACGTCAACAGGTTCATCTTACTTGGGTGGCAATGAGCACCCTTGGTTCTAGCAATCGGGAAATCAAAAGACGTGCTACACTGGGAAAATAGGCCATCTAAGACCGCTCCAAAGTGCTAAAGAGCAACAGATGTGAGTTAAAAGACTAGGGTGCACTTGAGTCAGGCCAGGATCTTAATTACTTGCGATGCATCTGAAAGTTGGACACTGATTAAAGATGGTAGAAGAAGAATCAATGCCTTTGAGTTGTGGTGTTAAAGAAGAGTACTGAGTATCTCATAGACCGACAAAGAACAAACACGTCTTGGAGAAAGTGCAGCCAGGGTGCTCCTTGGATGCAAAGATGTTGAATCTTCTTTTGGACATGTCGTAAGAAAGGGCATGTAGTTACAAGGGGCCAGTGTTTGTAAGAAGACATCATGCCCGGAAAGCTGGAGGGCCAGGGAAAGAGAGGAAGACCTTGACCCAGAGACTGTAACATGAGGTCAAGTACATCAGGGCTGATGAGATGGCAAGCCTGAGGTTGGGTTTCAGATCTGTTGTTCACAGGGTGCCTAGGAGTTGCAGTCGACTCAATGACATCTAACGACAACAGTAACAGCACATTCTAGTACTATACACCTCGAAGGAAAAGTTTTACTAACTTTGACAGGATATAGAGGCAGGAAACCACAGTCAGTGGCTACACGCCACACTTAATGCCAATGGGGACACATCTACTTTGCTCTTTGTCCCATATAACAGGTCTTGGCAACTCAAAAAGAACTCTTTGGATGCTTTACAGATGTCACTGAGTTTTTGTGAGCCCTCTTCCCAGACCTCACCCTACGTTCTAGGGTTCACTCAAACGAAAACAATGACTTCTATCTTATGGTTGCTGTTCCTAAGAATGAAAAAGGCAGAGGAAAGACAACAGCAACAAAATCCTAAAAAAATTTTGAAAGCTAGAAAGATGATGGATAATAAATGTCTTAGCAGACTCGAGGCAGCCGAGTTCTATACCGAGCTCACTCCTGAGACAGAACCAGCACTGCTGACCCTCCAGTGGGTTTTCGGAGGCTGTCAATCACATGAGAAGGGACAGCCCATCTTTCTGATGGATTTAAACTTCCTGCCTTTGGCTTCGCAGTGCAACTCCTCATACACCACAGCCCCAGAGCTCCTGAAATTCTATACTAGCTATGGTGAAAGTTGAAAATTGGTCGTATTTAGACCCCAGAATCCCTTCAAAGATGATGTGCTATGTCCTGAACAGAAACATGTGCTTCTGTGTGTCTGTCTCAGTGACGACACAACAGAAACACTGGAGGTCCTCTAAGGCTGTTTACACATGCTCCCAGGGAGAATCCACCGCGGTGCCACTAAGATTAACTATTTTACCCTTCAACTTCTTATATGATTACTCAATAGGGTTGTTGTTGTTGTTGTTATGTGCTGTCAAGTTGTTTGTGACTCATAGCGACCCTATGCACAACAGCCCTAAACCCTGCTCTATCCTGTGCCAATCGCACTGTCTCTGACACTCCCATCCCGATGACCCCAGTCACTGAATCAATCCACCTCATAGAGGTTCTTCCCCTTCTGCGCCGTCCCTCCACCCTCCCAAGCATGACGTCCTTCTCCAAGGACTGGTCCCGCCTTACAACATGCCCAAATAATATGTATTCAGATTTGTTTGTTTATGTACCATTAATTTGGAACCAACTTGGAGCTGACCCTCCAGCGTTGCCAGAGGCTGTAAATCACAGGGCAAGAGACTGTTCATCTTTCTCCCTCTGAGGCGTTGGGGGATTCACGCTGCCCACCTCTGGAGCGGCAGTGCAACTCCTTAGTACTAGGCCCCCAACGCTCTCGCCAGTATTTCAATACAGAAGGATGCAATTTATAAACATGCAGTCATTTATTGAGGTGTGTAGCCAATATTTTATTACTAACAAGATGTACATCTTGGAATGGAAGCTAATACTCTAAGGAATGATTATGACTACAGAAAAAAAGTTCATTTAACTAGGACTCTATCACAACTTGTCCTGAAGATACAATTCAAATAATTTCTAGGGAAAAGTAGTACTGTTGTTAAGTGCCATCGAGTCAAACACAACTCATAGCGAGCCTATGAACAAAAGACCTGAACCCTGTTCTATAACTATCCTTGTTTCTCCAATTCATAGTTTCCAGAGGAACGTCGTTTAGGAAACGGATGCCGCTACTGCTTCCAAATCTGTCTTAATCTGGAAGCTCCAGAAAACCATTATGTCATTTAACACACCAGTGGCACAGTGTTCACCATCACAGCAACCCCAAGTTACCTCAGTACAGCTAATTAGCAGACCAGTACTGTATCATTTAGAAGAATGTTAATCCCAAACACAATTATTAGTAAAGGCAAAATTTTTAAGTATCTTAAAATTTACGAAATCCTTTTACAAAGGAGATTTTATCTGTCTCAATAAAGTCGATGCAACAGTATTTAAAAAGTTTCTCAAAAGATACATAAAAAAACACGTGATCTATTTATTAGCACAAATACCTTAACTATGAAGTTAATCAGATGAAAAAGAATTTAAAAACTTAAACGTTTCAGTGTCTGAGGTTGTTCATTTCTTTCATATAAAAAGCTGTAGAAACCACTGCCCAGGTAAGGCAAGGGCAGCCATTCTGTTCTCCCTCTGTCAGCCCTGCCACCTTTATTCTTTATTTCCCAAGAACGAGTCTCAACAAAAGAATGCCTGCTCACCGTCTGACTCGCCACCGGCAGGCAGGTGACGGTAAAGGCTCCCGGATGACTCAGCTACAGATGGTCAAGAGTGGTTACGATAATGGACTACAGGCAAGTCCAGCTACACGGAGGGCAGCGTACAGTTGTTCTGCTGAAAATACGAAGACGGCAGCTCCCTACGCGAAAAGCACAAACGTGTTCTCTGACAATAAAAGTTTAGAAGGCCCTCTGCCCGAGGCGGGCTGCCCTCGG